TTGACCACATGCGGAAGTGTGTTGAGATCCATACTTGTTAAATTGTATAAATGAGATCCCAAATGGTGAAGCGTGCTGAGATTCATACTTGTTAAAGTTAATACACAAATAACGATAGGCACGCTCGCCCATTCAGGAACCCTGTGCGGAAGTGTGTTGGGATCCTTATTTGTTAAACTTCAAGTTCATAAAGGTGATGAGCAAGGTGTCGTCATTGCATCTTGGCTGGATAATATAATTCTTTAGGTTAGCCCAAAGTTGTACAAGCATGTCCATCCTCTCTCGTGAGACGGTGGTTTGGATGTGCGACGAGATCCGAGGTACTAAGTCTTCTTTAGAGGACATGGGGCAGCGATAGGCACACCCATCCGGGAAGCCTGTTGTGGAAGTGTGTTGGGATCCATACTTGTTCAAAAAGGTGTTTATAAATGTGATGAACAATGTGTCATAATTGAATCCTTGTTGGATAATACATTTGTTTAGTTCATCCCTAAGTTGTGCAGGCATGCCAATCATCTTGCTCGAGACGGTTGCTTGGATGTTGTTGAGGTTCGGACTTCTTCAGAATACTTAGTTTAAGGATGGACACGCCCACCATCTCGCCCAATATGCGAAAGTGAGTTAAGATTCATACTTGTTCACAATTGCGATGAGCAAGGTGTCATGATTGTATCCTTATTTGACATGTTTGCTTTGAGCAATGTTCAATTGGAAATTTCAAGTAATGTAAAAGTTACAGTAGCAGTCAAAGTTTTTCTGTGACAACACCTGTCATAATACAAAAGAACTTCAATTGTTGCTTATTATGTGATCAAATCCGTACTTTAAGTGACCATTAACAAAAGGTTTGGGCACGAATGCAAATTTCTTAGGTTACATGTCATTCAGGTGGTCAGAAATATGTGATTCTATGCGCACACAAGAGACGTGATGTCATTGGTCTTTGACTCTTCGCGTAATGAACCTCTCACTCACACAGTCGCCGAGATGTGTCTTCCATCCACACACCAATTTGTCATGTTACACAACACAAACCAATATCATTCGAGACACAATTTGGAGCAAGGAATGCAATGTGACGAATTCAATAGCACGAGAGACGAGTGGGACCTGACTCAGATTCCAAACTCAATACGTGATGTGAGATCGACAGTGAGCATTCGAAAGACAACTCGTACTCGCAACGACAAAAAAAAGCAATGTCGTTGTGAAAGCGACAATCAAACAATGTCATGATTAACGAAATATAATCAGTAAGTAATAAAATATTTCCAAACCAAAGTTTGCAAATGAATCGAATACGTCAAAGACGACGGCGTTCCAAGACACATGATGCCAATTGTCGTCTAATTTCCGGAAGATGTTTAGAAGAGAACCTCTGTACACAGAGTTCAATTCTGCACGAGAGAAAAAAAAAAAAAAAAAAAAAAACAACTCAAAAAATTCCGAAAAAAAAATATGTTATGAAGAAAAATAAAATAAACAACATTTGCTTGAGCATTACATCTAAATTCGTTACCAAATTGGAAAAAAAAACAAAAAATAAAAAAAAGTAAAAAAATAATTGAAATTAGTGAGCGAGCACGATTTGACACCGCCATCTTTGGCGATTTTTCATTTTTTTTTGCCTTAGCAAATGACCCCAAAATTGAGAGGCAATTCCCTCACATCATACAGATCTCATAAAAAAAATAATAATAATAAAATATTTTTAGGCATCGAAATGATTTAAAAAATATTAAAAAAAAAAAAAAAAAAATTGAACGCCGTTCAATTTTGAACGTGAATTTAAATCCGCGTTCAAACGCACATTTGCACGCGAACGCGCGTTCACGGTATTCAAACGGTTACACAGGAGAACCTGAAAGGTGGCCGATCACCGCGTTGTAACAATATCTCAAACATCAACATAAACACCCCTCAACTAGCTCCATCCAGTTGTCTTGGAACTCCTTCCACCATAACCTTTGTTGCTACCGACCTCCAACCAGTACACAACCGGCTGTGAAATGTCTGACGTTGTAAATACTGTACAATCAATTTGAAAACACTAAGGTAAAAACCCAAATCAGCTACGACGTGAGGAAACGAATAAAAAATTTCGAGGACATCGTCTCTCAAGTTGACGGAAAGGCGGATCCAGTGATCGTCATCTTTGTGCACAGGAACAAGATAATATCGTACCGAAGCAGATCCACGTTTGTAGCCCACCTTTCCATCCCGCCGTATCCTTGAAGTTGCAGTTTAGTGAAGAAGAACGAATTTAAGTTGTAGACTCGAAGGTCTGACGGTATATCACTTATCATAGATGCGGTCGACCCCAACAACGCCATGTAAAAATTGATCACCTCATCATTCACTCTGCCGTCAACATGCACGAGGGTAAGAAGATCTTTTGCCGTGATTCGCAACTGGCCACCGGCGAGGATAGAGAGAACAGTGTGAGGCGGCGCCAAGCCTCGTCCAATGCCGTCCAAAACCCGCAAACTGGTAGGCGCAGTCGCTGCAACTGCAACAAACCCCGCTTGTTCCACGTGTTGTGGCCCGCACTGCACAATAGCGAGCGAAGGACACGTGGGGCAGTGAGAAACGGAGTGTCTAAGCATTGTCCTTCATTCATTACACGACGCTAAGTATTGTTCATACATTGCCTGCCTGACCCCTACTCACAGAAGGGAAAGACACTCCTCAATGCCAATTGTAAGCTCTTTCTTCCCGATCTCGACATCAACCCCTTATGCCTTTAACATATCCTTGTGTTTTGTGGTTAACCCGGAGGCTTTCTGCAATATGTGTTCCGGATATTTCGAGGACCTCCGTGCTCGAGATGACCCTACCCCTGTACAACAGAAGAAAGACAAAACGGAAAATGAATACACATTACCCAAAACGAGTCCGACGAAAGTGACAATGTAAAAGAACCATATGACCTCTCCAATCACAAAAGTCCGAATGTACATGGCCATGTGCCGTTGGAGAACATCAGGACAAGCGCAATCGAGCTTGAGACCCCGACCACAACAAAGGAAAACAACAACAAGCCACAAAAGTGAAACGCTAACATTCCCCGGAGTTCGGATTCCGGCGGACTTCTTCCCACGACAGGCGGACGAAGAGTAACCATCTCACGCATCGACATAGGAATTGCGGATCACGGCGAACTTAAGCGATGACTCTATGGATGAAGAAAAAAAAATTGTTACTCAATAGACATGGCTATGTTTTTTGCCGGGGAGCGTGTACGACGCGGCGTTCATCGCTGCTTACCAGCCACTTTATCCCGTCGTTCCTTCGTCGACAACTTTGGCGCGGGCAAGCCCAGCACGTCGAGAGCTTGAGTGCCGACCCGAGATTTTTTCGGGGACGTGACATGTTGCCGGCCCCCTAGATCCCCCTCCCGGCCCCCGGTTAAGGTGACGGCCAGTATCGGAGAGTTGGGTGGCGAGACAACAGTGTTCGAGGGCACTGAAGTTGTGACGTTGTGGCGGTCGTCCGGGATAGGTGCAACACACCGTTGCCCGACCACCTGCTCGTCGCCGAGCATCCCATGTATAACTTCAACGACGCTCAATTGTTGACTTCGTTGAGCCGGGTTCACAACAGCGGAAACCTCATTGCAACGGTGTTGGAGATCGAATGCAGTCGTCAGCGGTTGAACCTCATATTATTCAGGGTTTGCTGAAAGGTCACTGACCACCTGCGTCTCCATCTCCATTGTCGTCACATCGTCGTTGACGTCAGGCCCCGGATGGCCCGCGTAAAGGTGCCCGAACGAGTCAGAAGACTCCTCGCAGTCGGCATCCTTCTCATTGCCCAGTCGTTCGTCGTCAATGTGGATATCCCCTTTTTCACCCCCTTCCTCTCCTTCCTCCCCTTCTTCCTCTTCTTCCCCTTCTTCCCCTTCTTCCCTTCCGTCCCTCCCATGCCATTCACGAAATTCTCCCAACACCATGTCGAATCTCGAGGCCCGCTCTCCTACCCCCACGTGCGTACCCCCTCCCATCGGCACTACAGTCCTCGCGTGTGGAGCCCTTTCTGAAGAAGTCCGGATCCGGGCGGACTTCGGCTCATCATGGTCAGTGGGCTCTCCACTTACGCCCGGTGCCTAAGTCCATGTAGTCCGGATTCCGGCGGACTTCGATGCAGGTCCCTTACCGGACCTGACAGTCGGCTTTCCAACAACGTTCTCCCCCCCCCTTACCACCACCGCCTTCTCTTGGCGTGGCCTCGTATTCAGGCGAAACCCCACCCGAAGCGGTGGTACCCTCTGCTGTCCCCGAGGGGGTCCCTCCGACACCCACCCTTATGCCGGCCCCACCTGCTCCTCCCTCCCCTACGCCCCCCCCCCCCCCCCCCCCCCCCCCCCCCCCCCCCCCCCCCCCCCCCCCCCCCCCC